TGACCCGACCCCAACAGTAAGCCTTACCTGCCCCGTTGTGGTTTTCTGGATTTGTGTTGGACAGATGTTCTCCAAATGCTCTGGCTGCTCTGTAGAGACAAAAGAGCAGACAGAAGTTAACCTGAAGGCTTCTCTGGATGCTAATATCCACACATAGACCACCTGACTGTTTCAACTCTAGATCAGAGCAGATAAACAGTCTGAACAGTAACACAGAGATGCTGTAGGGACGTATCCTGGCAGCTACACATGCTAACATGCTGGCACCACCAGACACCGACTGGTGTGGAGGAATATCTACAGCAGACTGTTTCATTGCCCTGAAGATTGCCCTCTGGCTTCATTGGTTGGTCCAAAGAAAGAACTGTCAGTGACTCTATGTGAGATCAATCTACTATAGAAATGAGATGTGGAAGAGAGAATGGATGGTTGATCAGCAAAGCTCCTCTAACGCTCAGACTTTCCTTCATTTCCCTCCATGGCAGCTCCTTGGCTTTGTAACGACACAGAGCAGCAAACAATGCCATAGAGACAGAGGGCCGATTAACAGACCTCTAGATTACTGTTAATCTGTGTTAATCTGATTATTATGCCCTTAAAGTCAGCTTTTTATATTAAAGTCAGAAAAACCCAACTAGAGGGCTGACTTTATGTTATTAAAAGATTTTATAATGAATAAAGGAACTGTATTTTTGCTTTAGTAACTCTGCATTGTGTTTAATAAAAAGAAAGCAGCTAAATGTTTCCATCCATTCTGGGTGTCTGGATCCACGACGATGGAAATAAAGACCATGACTGAAACATCCGCCATGTTTGAGGCTGTCAGTCACCCTGTGGCTGATTGATAAAATTCATTTCTCTATTCATCCAGAGATGCAGTGCAGGGTTTAGTCCAGTCCAGGGTTTAGGGATTAGTCCAGTCCAGGGTTCAGTCCAGTGCAGGGTTTAGTCCAGTCCAGGGATTAGTCCAGTCCTTGGTTCAGTCCAGTCCATGGTTTAGTCCAGTCTAGGGTTTTGTCCAGTTTAGGGAATAGTCCAGCCCATCGTTTAGTCCAGTCCAGGGTTTAGTCCAGTCCAGGGTTTAGTCCAGTTTAGGGAATAGTCCAGCCCATCGTTTAGTCCAGTCCAGGGTTTAGTCCAGTCCAGGGTTTAGTCCAGTTTAGGGAATAGTCCAGCCCATCGTTTAGTCCAGTCCAGGGTTTA